TAAACCCCTGTGTCGTGCACACACCCCACTGACTTACCTACCTCTCTGGCAGGAAGGGGAGTCCAAGCTGACAGTGGATGGAGCGGTACTTGGGCTGCGGGGGGGGGATGGTGCTTCCCTCCATGGCAGCAGCGGCCCCCCACCAGGCAGCACCCACCCGCAGGCACCTGGCTTCCTGCAGAGCCATGGAGTTGCACAGAACCTAGTGCTTTGCTCCACTGTAGGGGCAGCAAACTAAAACTCCTCCGAGGAGTAATTTAAGGTACATTACACCGCTGAATTTCCTACTGCAGCTGGAATGAATGTGCAATACTGCATTATACCGCCAAGGCGTGCAAACACGAACACCATTAAGGCAGTGCAAAAGCATTTAGCCTGCTTTAAAGCGTCGTGCACACATGCTTCTCATTCTGTCTACACACGGCCTAAGATATTGCGGACAAGACAGTGTGCAGTCCTGTTATAAATTCTATGCAACAAAAGACGGTAACAATACAACGCAGAGAGAGTGTTGTAAGTTTCAGGTTGTGCAGACAACCTTCATTTTAATATTTTCTGAATTTTGCAAACCCAATATTATTTTAGTGTTATTTTTTCTATTCCAGAGATGATTTAACAGCATCCAAAATGAGTTCTGAGGCACTGGAAATAATTGCAAGTCTTCTTTCAATGTGATGGCCAATTTTTTTTTTTTAAATAGATCCCTGAGGATTCTGATTTATCATAGAAGATAACTAAGCTCCAGCCTAATAATTTTCTACTTGAGACTTGATGAAGGGTGTCTTGCATTCAAAAGCTTACCTAACTTTATCCCAACTACCTAGTTGGTTCAATAAAAGATATCATCCTAAGAAATTCTTGCCTCTCACATAATAGTGTACTTGTCATTCCCTTCACTAAAAATGGCATTGAAAAAGCCAGTTTCCCACACTCCACTTTGGGAAAGTTCTGCTGTAGATCTTAGCTTCTCTTCTTAGTGTTTTCTCTACAAACCACTTCACTAGCAAACTATCTATCTCCATACCTACTTCTGAATTTGGGATAAGTTTATTTCAATTGCAAATCTCATGGCTGAGATGCATCTTTAATTTAGACCCCCCCAAAATATTACAAAGTAATATAATTCCACTATTTAGTCATAGCAAACTGTGCAATTTTCAAAGTCCACTCTAAGACATGTTTAAAATCTCTCTCATGCAGTATGTTTTTAGTAGCTCTCTCTTTCCTTTCAAATGCACTTGACGGACACTAGCTTCTTTTGAAATGCAGATTATCTGGAACGTTCAGTCAGACACAAACATTATTTTCATTTGTCATTCACATAGACTCTAACAAATTTCCATTTACTGATCAGTGAAGGGAGAGAAAGGTCTAGGTTTAAGCCGTAGGTTTTCAGTACTAACAAAATGGTAGCTGCATCTGGTTTAGATCATATTTGAATTTTTATTTTAAATATCTAATTAAAAACCTGTCATTTATAGAAAAATGCACTTAGTCCCAGTGAAAAAGGCTGTATGCAAATATGTTTATGACCACTGTAAGTCAGATTGCTGTGATGAAGATAATTTTATTAGCTTTTTATATAAAGAAAAGATGTAACCACTTTCATAAATGCATTTTACTAAAAATGGGTAGTGATGCAAAATCCTTGAGACTTATAAACAAACAATACACAAGTCTCAAAACATTTTATACTAATAAAGCAATTTTTAAAGATCACAACAATTTTGCCCTGGGAACCACCATTTTCAACATTACTCTCATTCCATTTTTATTATGAAATGAAGCCCTCAGCAGTCTTTCCTTAGATAGTTTTCTCTCTAATTAATGTTGAAGTTAGTTCTTCAGTATAAACCACATTTTCACACCTCTTTCCAAATAACTCCAGATTTAAGTTAAATCTCCACAAACAAACACACGTAATTTTATATAAAGGGAAATATTTTCAGCAAATGCTGAAGTAAATTAAAAAATGCATTTTATAAAACTGTGCAATAAAGGTTAAAAAATGAAGTGATATTAACTTCTTGGCGTTGCATAACTTTTGTGTGATCTTCCCAAATCTGAGAATCTAGTTTAGGCTTGAAACTATATATTTTTCTTATTTGGTTGCAATGATGATTAAGTCTAGTTATGGGCCAAGATGGTCAACTTTTACAAATGTTTATTTTTTAAAAGATAGTTTGCATTGAAATTTTGAATGTCCAGGGAAGATTCTGAAAAAAACCTACATCATTTTTGATAAATGTTTTGTCATCCAAAATTATAACGTGTTTAGATTTTTCTAAAATTGTTTAAAAACTGGAATTTTAAAAATCTAGCAACATTTGAATTTTTTACAAGTTTTTTAATCAGAATTCATCATAGTTTGTGATTATTCAAGGTTACATCCCAAAAGATGCAGAATGCATTCTGCTAACTGCCATGTGCTGTTAACTTTCAGTGAAATCAAGGAAATTTCAGGGAACTCAACAGTTTGCTAACAGATCTAAATTTTTGTGTTAGTATGTATAAGAGAAAATCCATGTGTATCCTGTAAATACCTATCAATGTCTACATAAGCCACAATAGAGACAGTGGCAGAAAGAAGCAAAGGTGTCCTGAGTCAGGGAACTGGACATGGCAGGAAGGTAAGACCTATAGTACAGGTTCTTGGAGCATTTTATCCATTACCTGTTAAATGGAAAATATACAAACAGACCTTGGAAAGGAACTGGAACCTAGGATGCTCCAGTCCCATGTCATTCTAACTACTAGGCTAGAAATGCTTATTCACTCTTACTTTTCTCTCTAGCCCAGAGTTTCCCAAACTGGGGCATGGCCCCTGAAAGGGGGTGGGGGGCAGGGAGGCACAACTAAAGGCAAAGACCATGTGCATGTGAATTATGAAGATGCTGCAACATGGAAAAGTGTCAAAAAATTGGTGGCTGAAGTAGAGGGGATACAAGAGTGGCGAACTTTACTGTGGTGGGACATAAAACGAAAAAGTTTGGGAACTGCTGTTCTAGCCCAGTGAATTTTTAAGTATTCCATTTAAAGTAGAAGAGTTTCAATGAGATAGGTTGAGAGCGCCCCTTCCTTAGCATAGTTTACAGCCTGGTGGTTAATGGCACTCTACTAAGTGGTGTTCATTTGAAACTCCTCAGATGCAGGGAGGAAGTTGAACCTAGTTATCTTCTACCCTGTGTGAATGCCCTAACAACTGACCTTTGGATAAAAGGGAACTTCCGCTGGTGCCGTCTTCTCCAGCTGACCTTTTAGAGAAGGCAGATTCTGTCATATTTTTTGTTAAATCCAAGTATTAGAATAATCCATGTTGAAAGAAAAATGGATTAAATTTTCTGAACCCTACAAAGCAACTAGATTGATTTTTATTATCTTCAGACTATGGCATAATGGCTATCATGTCAAACGGTGAATATATCCCATGAAAGTGATTCCACATTAACCCTTTCAGCATGTGCAGAAGCCAAGATTTAGAGAACTGTAATGTCAAAAACTGAGGCACGTATGACTCCAGGTAAGCAGTTCCAGGGGTTATGAGGATTGCAGTTTTGGACTTCAGTACCTAATACAACTCCATGCCCCACCTCTCCCCACTTCTGGTGCTAAGCCCTTTTGTGGCTCAATACCTGAGAACCACATGATCAGAATAATTTGGAGTCTTTGACCATCAGATTTAGACTGCCTGTTGAGTATGGGTAGTAAGGAACAATGAACTGAATTCAGCCCTCCTGTAACTCTATCAACTCCCCTATTTCTTACTAAACCTAAAGGTTTCTTAGTGAACAAATGAAGTATGCCTGCCTTGAATGGATGGAATACTGACACTTCAAAGAATGCTAACAAATTCCAACCTGTAACACATACTCACTTGTGAATTTCTAGAAAGAGAGGGAGAAGGTTAACACTGGATCACTTTCATA